GACACGCCCCTGCCCTACCTGGAGGTGAGCGCCGAGCCCCGAGGCTGGGGCAGCTCGCCGGGAGGCGGGATCTCGTGTGCGGGGAGTGCGGGAGCCTTGTGCATTGTGTGCGGGGCGCGCGGCGAGCGCTGTGCCGGGCCTGCAGTCGGCAGCGCGTGCCGGGAGCCCCGAGCGTGGTTCCGCGGGGTGGGGTGTGGGCAGGGGGCGAGCAGGAGTGCACCCAGAGCGTGTGGAGTAAGCCAGAGCGTTACCTGTGCGTCCACCTGCCCCCTCCCCGGGCATCTATGAAGGCAGACCTGAGCCTTTCTCATTTGCTCGCCCATTTATGCGGTGAAGGCCACCAGGCAGGGGGACACAGACTCGTGGTTTGGGCAGAGGGATGCCAAGTGCAGTGAATAATGAAATAAGCGTTATGGTAGCTGAGCTGAAAGTTAGCTTGGTCTCGGTGATTGCCCAGGGAAGTAGGGTCAGTTCTACTCAGAGAGGGGGTGCCTGGGAAGCTAATCCTGAAACCAAGTCTTGGAAGAGGAGTGGGGTTTTCCAGGGAACCCTGGGGAGGAGACAGAAAGGCCCTCGCACTCGACGAGCAGCTGGGCATTCCTCGCCTCTGAGCTTGGTGCTGGCTCTGTGTCCACCCTAGTGCGGATGGGATCTGTGTGACTGGCCTGCGGGGCTCTGTGACTGAGGGTGGGTGATCAGGGTGAGGCCTGAGCTGCAGAGGTAAGCAGGATGCATTCACTCAGCCCAGGTGGGTGCCTTTCCCCTGCCTTTTCTTTACCTGAGCAGTTTCGATACAAGAGACGAGTTTATGCCCAGAACCTCATCGATGATAAGCAGTTTGCCAAGCTTCACACCAAGGTAAGGAGGCAGCTGTGGGGAGGGGACTCTAGAAGTTACCTTTTGCCCTTATGGCCAGTATTTCCCCACCTCAGCCTTAGCAGGATTTTGTGATATCAAAAATGTCCTTTAAAAGCTCCTTTGTGAGGCCCTCCCTGTGCTCCCAGCAACCCTACCCAGCCTGGGGCTGACCACAGTCCCTGCAGCTTCGGCTCTGTTTTCTCCTGTTGTCAGGGGCCCAGACCAGGTGTTGGGGGTGGCTGGAGGGCTGGGCACAGACTCGAGTCATCATGGCTCTGGCTTGGGTGGTCTGGTGATGGGTTCCAGCCAGATCAGACCCTCTGGTCCACCCCTGACTTAGTGGGGGTAGAGTACGTTAGGTCTCGTGTCTTGGTGAGAACCTTTGTGGGAGAGACGTGAACAAGCACCTGATGTGGTTATTGGGGGAGAGCAAGGAGCCCAGCATGTAGTGTTCACCAGTGCTGGGCACTGGGAGTCATGTAGCTCATTAGTTTCCTCCTGGGAGGCACTGTTATCCCATTTTGCACATGAAGATTCTGAGTTCCAGAGCAAAGTGACTTGCTCACAGCTGTGCAGCTGGCACTGTGCTGCTTTCTCTGAATGCAGGAGGGGCAGGGTGAATGCTATGTGCCCTTCCCGCAGGGGGACCCCCTGGGCTCCCACCTCAGGCTTCTGTGGACCAGGGGACATTTGCTTGCTGGATCCTTCTTTGGAGCCTAGAAGAGAGGGATCTGAGCACTGACATTCCTATGCCCCTGTGACCCCTTTGTGACCTTGGAGCCTCCATGCCAGGCTTCTCTGCTGCTCCAGAGCATGTGGTGGTCAATCTCTGGGGCTGCAGAGACTGTTGTGGGAGGGTCCTCCTTTCCCTCCACTGGCCTCAGTGTGGCCATCTTACCCTGGATTCCTCCATGGTTACCTCTTCTCCAAAGCTGTCCTCAGCCACCCACAGGATGCTGGTGACTCTTGGCCTTCAGTGAGTCCCACTTGTTTTTAGGATGAATTTCAACCTCTTACCACAGCCTTGTATCTCCACCTGCCTGGGCTCCAGCTGCCCCACCCTCACACCACCCACCGTGGGTTTGGCTGAGGTCTCTCCCCCAGTCGTCCTTGCATGTCTGAGGAGGCCACCTCCTATGGAGTGGTCCCTGGGGCACCCTCTCCTATTTCTGGTGTGCTTGAATGTTTCTAGGAGTCCTGGGGCCTCTGGCCAGGGCACCTTGTCTGTGCACGAAGCTTCCGTAGCAACAGTAGGGGCTCAGGGAGGCTTTGCTGAGTGAATTCACACTCGGCTAGGTGAAAAAATGAAAGGCAGGAAAAGTTCTGTCACAAGAGGGGACACCTGAGGGTGGAGAAGGGCCCCTGGGTGGGAGTCTGCCCTAGGGTGAGTGCATGTGGAAGATGGGCCAGGGGAGAAACAAGTCACCTTGGGAGTGATGAGGGCGCGGGGCTGGTCCCTGCCTGGGTGGCCCTGGGGCACTAGGGCCAGGCAGAGGAGCCGAGGCAGTGCAGTAGATGCTCCGTGGGTGGCCTGAGTCTGGCTGGTGGAAGGTGGGTGACAGATGATGGCAGCTGTGATGTGGGCTGACCAGGATGGTTGGGTGTTCCAGGCAAACCTGAAGAAGTTCATGGACTACGTCCAGCTGCACAGCACAGACAAGGTAGCCCGCCTACTGGACAAGGGGCTGGATCCCAATTTCCATGATCCTGACTCAGGAGGTGAGAAGCAGAGCAGGAAGGGGCATGACCTTGGAGTGGCTGGGACCTGACCGTCATCTGTCCCTTGACCCCAGAGTGCCCTCTGAGTCTTGCGTCCCAGCTGGACAATGCCACGGACCTGCTGAAGGTGCTGAGGAATGGCGGTGCTCACTTGGATTTCCGCACTCGAGATGGGCTCACTGCCGTGCACTGTGCCACGCGCCAGCGGAACGCGGCGGCTCTGACGGTCAGTGCGGTGGGGCCTAGCCTGGAGGGGCAGGTGGACCAGGATGGGGAGGAAGTTGGGTCCAGCATGGACACCGAGCCTCCTTACCCTCAGACCCTGCTGGACCTGGGCGCTTCACCCGACTATAAGGACAGCCGTGGCCTGACGCCTTTATACCACAGTGCCCTGGGGGGTGGGGACGCCCTCTGCTGTGAGCTGCTCCTCCATGACCATGCTCAGCTGGGGACTACTGATGAGAACGGCTGGCAGGAGATCCACCAGGTGAGCAGAGAGCATGAGGATGGGGTGTCCTGCCTCTGTCAGGGGGGTGAGGTCCTGGGTTCTGTAGGGGGAGGGGGATTTCAGGCTCTTTCTGCAGGAGTTGGGATTCCCAGCTTTGTCTACAAGAGTGGGGGTCCTGGACTGTGTTGGGAACCCAGAAGCACCTCCCTTCTCCCCTAGGCCTGCCGCTTTGGGCATGTGCAGCACCTGGAGCACCTGCTGTTCTACGGAGCTGACATGGGGGCCCAGAATGCTTCGGGGAACACGGCCCTGCACATCTGTGCCCTCTACAACCAGGTGTGACTGTAGAGGTGACCCTGTGCAGTGACTATATGTGTGCATGTCTGACCCTGTGTCCCTTTATCCGTGTCCTGCAGCGAGCTGTGCCCCTGTAGGCCCAGGTGTGCATGTCTGTTTCCTGAACATACCTGTGTTCTGAACCACCAGGTGTGAACTGTGTGCATCTGGGCCCTCTGGGCCAGGTGGGACTTGATGTGTACACCTGACCTGCTCATCCCTATGCTAGGCACCTATGCTCTGAACGTGTGGATGTGTGTGCCCCGCGCCCCTGCATGTGTGCCCCATGTGTGCTGTCACCCCCTGATCCCCACTCCACTTGCCTCTGCTGACAGGAGAGCTGTGCTCGTGTCCTGCTTTTCCGTGGAGCCAACAAGGATGTCCGCAATTACAACAGCCAGACAGCCTTCCAGGTACGAGAGTGTACAGCAGCAAAGCTGCCTGGGGGGTGTCTGTCTCTCTCTGTGTGGCTGGACCTCCCTGGATCTTGGTTCTTCCCCTGAGGCAGTTGCCCTAGGGTGAGGTGGGGGACAGGTTGTTCAGCAGTGGTGGCTCGTAGGTGTGGTCACTGTGGATGCTCAACTCTTTCACTTCCTGGGAGCGAGGAGGGTCAGAGGGCTCTGGGGCCAGGGGATACCAGGTGTGGACCTGACCTTCCAGAGACAGGTGGGGTGCAGAGGTGAACCAGGGGTCAGAGGGATGGTCCCAGCTCCTAACTTAATTTAGTGATGTTTTTGAGTCCTTTCTCTGGTCCGGTTTGGTTCTTGGCACCAGGATGACTAGATGGAGGGGTGCCCATGTTGCCTGAAATGTGTGGGAGGATTTGGGGACCATGGAGGGAGCTGGGGCCTACAGAGGAGATGTGGGAACAGTCCAGGCCACCGCTTTGTCCAGCAGATGCCGAGATGGAAGTGGAGGGCCTGTGGGAGAACCAGATGCAGGGGCAAGGAAAGGGCAGAGGGAGGGTGACAGGTGGGAGGCAGTGGGGGCCATGCCCAAGATGGGAAAGGTGGTGTGTGGAAGGACCATTGAGAGAACAGGTGGGGTGACCAGCATGCCCCCGTGTGCCCAGGACTATCCTGGTTTTAGCTCTGAAAGTCTCATGTCCCAGGGGATCCCTCAGTCCTGGGCAGACTGGTGTGGTGGGTTAGACGGGGCAGAGTCTGAGCCGGGGGCCAGCAATCACAGAAGACAGGAGCCCAAGGAGCCACCAGGGGCCTGGGGTGTTGAGTGTGGTGTGGCCAAGCCTCTCACCGCCCCTTCCCCCGACCGTGGTCCTCCCACCCCAGGTGGCCATCATCGCAGGGAACTTTGAGCTGGCCGAGGTTATCAAGACCCACAAAGACTCAGATGTTGGTGAGTTCTGCCCACCCCAGGTCCACGTTGAATGTGGGTTTATGGGGGCTGTCAGGGGTCAGTGGGGATGTGACAAGGGAGCCCTCATGCCCTGAGCCTCTTCTTCTAGCCCTGGCTGCCAGCCCTAATCTCTTCCTTCAGTCCATCCATGTGTGGCCCCTGCAGGGATGGGGAACATGCTGAGGGCAGAGCGGACAAAAGGTCAGGGTCAAGGTCAAGGGTGTTGTTAGGTTAGGGCAGGGTGGCTGGGGCCAGGACTGGGTTTAGGGATCAGCTGAGGTTGAGAGTGGGTTGAAGTTAGGATCAAGGCTTGTTTTTCCTTTAGGTCAAGTGAAGGGCCAGCAGGGGATGGGGGACAGTGGATGTGAGCCCCTGCCCCTCAGCATTTTACTCCAGCCCGGAGCAAGGACTAGGTTCAGTGGCCACAGCTTGCCTCCTGGACAAGGCCACATCAGTGTGCATGCAAGGAAACACACAGCGATGAGGGTGCTGTCTTAGGGTCAGGTGTGTGAGTGGCTTGTGGTCCCAGAAGAAAGACCAGGGCATGCCATCCAGTCTCAACTCCAGGGCAGGCAGGAGGATGGGTACAGCCATCACATGTAGCCTCAGGGAGGTCCATACCCACTCCCAGGCCACTGATGGGTGTGGGTCTGGTCTGGAACCTGTCCTCAGAACCCTGCCATCCTTCCCTGGTGTGGGGTGGCTGGGGCTGCAGGAATGGGTGGGCCTCCCCTTCTGGAAAGAGAATTTTCTGGTCAGAAAATTCTCCAGCCACCTGGCCACATAGGGTCTCCCTTCTCGGCTCCCCTGTGTCCTGGTTGACCCGGGCCTTTTTGCCCATGGTTCTCTCTAGAGCACAGACTCTCAGGCTCCCCTTTCACCCTGAGTGACACTGACTAGCAGAGAGCTGGGGCTGGTCTTAGGGTTAGGACCCCTTCTCAGTTATGATGTAAGGTTACTATCAGGGCTGGGGTTAAATTTTGGGCTGGAGTGGAGATTAAGGCCAAGTTCATATTTAGAGACCTTTCTCTATGGGGTCTACCCTGAGTAGACCTCGCCCTCCNNNNAATTTTGGGCTGGAGTGGAGATTAAGGCCAAGTTCATATTTAGAGACCTTTCTCTATGGGGTCTACCCTGAGTAGACCTCGCCCTCCCAGTAAGGCTCGGTTATGGGCCCCATATGGGTTATGGGACGAGGTCAGGACTATGAGAATGGGTAGTGGGTCCAGAGTGTGGGCGGATCCAGGGCTGCAGCATCCGCTGAGTGAAGTGGTGTAGGGTTGAGGTCCAGGTTCTGGCTGGGAGAGAACTGTGCCGAGGTTTGAGGTATGAGCTAGGGGCAGGAGACCGTCTCAGTCTGGTTGGTTGTTAACCTGGGAGGACCTGACTTTGTGGACCTGTGGGGTCTCTCTTCTGCATCTGATCACCTAGGCATGGGAAAGCTCCTTAGGGCCTCTGTGCCTCAGTTTTTAATTAAGCAACAGTGGTCTTTTACTGTTATTTGCATCCACCTCTGATCTCTGACCTCCTGTGGGTCTGGACTCTGCCCATGGCCTTGGTCCAGCTGATTGGAGGGAGGAGGCTTGTCTCACCTAAGCCAAGTGGCAGGAGGGCCCCAGCTTCCTCTCATTTTTGTGGCCTGACAGAGATGCTCAGGCTCCTGGGAGCACTGTTAGACAACTTAATGCCTGGCTGACCTGGAGTGCGCTACCTGGTTGAGGTTAGAAGTGCCATAGCTGGGCCTAGTTATGGGCTGGCATCCCTGTCATATAGGCCCAGGTGGCCATCGGCTCTGCTGATTGTGTGCCCATTCCTGCTGACTTGTCACACATACACTCGGATGATACAGCCAGATGTCCCTGTGCAACAGGCTGACGTAGTCATGAGTATTTACCCTAAACCCTGTTGTTATCCCAACTCACCCTCTCAGCACTCCCATGAGTGATTATTAGTCCATGTTTACAGAGGAGGAAACTGAGGCACAGCTGCTTAATGGCAGAACCTGTCTTCAGACCTAGGCCATCCCAGGGTCTGTCTCTGTCACCTCCACTCCCTCTGCACACATTTACTCCAAGGACACTCCCTCACTGACAGACACAAGTTGCCATGTCCCATCCCAGCTCTGGGACCCTGGGTGGGGCCTGTACACAGGAGGAGCTGCAGGAGGCTCTGCCCCCTACCCCCTTCCTCCTCCTCAGGGAAGCAGTCCATCTGCAGGGTCTGCTGGGCTGGGACCTGTCACCCTCAGGGGACAGGACACTCGAAGCCTCGTGGCAGCCCCACCTGCCCCTCTAGACTGCCAGGCCTGAAGCAGGGCCCCTGGCCTGGGAGCAGCCACCTTGGGCCACCATTGGGCCCATGTCCACCACCACCCCACACACACACTCTCTAGCACATGTTCCCACAGACCAGTGTCCCTCGGTGCTTTGACCCTGCACTAGGGAAGTGCTTCTCATCTGAGTCACATCTGACTCAGCGGGCCTGGGTGTAGCCCGAGAGTCTGCATTATTAAGGATCTCCAGCTCCAGGTGAGGCTTCGATCCATGGCCCTTACTTTTTGTAGCAGGAGTCTAAAATAGGGCTTGGCAACGATGCCCTGCAGGCCACATCCAGCCCCCAGTCCACATCTTTTGTTTTAAATTCAGGCTTTAAAACTGAGAATTTAAATTTTATTTAAAATTAAATTTGTAGAACATGAAATGGGCTATTTTAAATTGAATAATTTGTTCGTATTTAGTATATTCACAATGCTGTACAATCAACTCTACTAAATTCCAAAACATTTTTATCACCCCCAAAGAAAATCCTATATAATTAAGCAATTAATCCCATTCCCCTCTCTCAACCCATGTCGGCCACTAACATACTTCCTGTCTGTATGGATTTACCTCCTCTGGGTATTTCATATAAATAGAATTGGACATCATGTGACCCCTGGTGTCTGGCTTTTCACTCAACATATTTTCAAGCTTCATCCAGACTGTAGGCTGTATCACTGCTTCATTCCGTTTTATGGCTGAATAATATTCTATTGTTTATATATATGACATCCTGTTTCTCCGTTCATCCTTCGATGGACACGTGTGCTGTTTCTACCATTTGGCTGTTGTGAATAGCGCTGTTATGAGCACGTGTGAATGTATTTGTAAGAATTCCTGTTTTCAATTATTTTGGGGTATCCACTATTTTATACTTCCTTCCACCAGCGATATATGAGGGTTCTAAATTCTTCAAATCCTCACCAAAACTTGTTCTTATCAATTTTTTTTTTTTTTTTAAATACAGCATTTCTAGTTGGTGTCAAATGATCTCCCTGTGGTTTTCACTTGCGTTTCCCTGATGGCTAATGATGTTGAGCGTCTTTTCATGTGTTCATTGGCCACTTGTTTTCTTCTTTGGAGAAGTGCCCACTCAGGTCCTTTGCTCAGTTTTTAATTACTTAGAATGAGTTAGGAAGTGTTACTTCCTCTTCCACTTTTAGGAAGAGTTGGGGAAGGATTGGTGTTAATTCTCTAAATATTTGGTAGAATTAATCAGTAATGCTGTCTGATGCTGGCCTTTTCTTTGTTGGGAGATTTGTGATTACTGACCCAATCTCTTGGCTTGCTGTAGGCCTGTTTAGATTTTCTGTTTCTTCCTGAGTCAGTTTTGGAAATTTGTCCATCTGGCTTATCTAATTTGTTGGCATATATATATAGTATCCTCTCATATCCCTTTTTAATTCCCTAAGATCAATAGTAACTCCTCACATTTCATCTCTGATTTTAGTTATATGTGTCCATCTTCTCTTTTTTTCCAGCTAAAGGTTTGTCAGTTTTGTGGACATTTCCAAAGAAATAGCTTTGGTGTTATTGGTTATGTGTGTATTTCTATTCATTATTTCATTTATCTCTGTCTAACCTTTATGATTTCTTTTCTTCTGCTAGCCCTGGGTTTAGTTTGCTTCTCTTTTCCAGTTCCTTAAGATGTGTAGTTAGGATATCGAGTTGAGACCTCGATCCTTGATGAACATGGGTATTTACAGCTGTAAGTGTCCCTCTTAGTACTGCTCTTGCTGCATCTCATGGCTTTAGTGTGCTGTCTTTTTGTTTTCATTTTCTCAAAGTGTTTACTAATTTTCCTTACGATTTCTATTTCAACACGTTGGTTGTTTAGGATTGTGTTGTTTAATTTTCACCTCTGTGAATTTTCCAGGTTTTCTTTTTCTGTACTTGGTTTCCAGTTTCATTCTATTGCGATTGGAGAAGATACTTTGTATGATTTCAGTCTTTTAAAATTTATTGAGACTTGCTTTGGTTTGTCTGGGGCATGTTCCATATGCACTTGGGAAGAATGTGTTTTCTGCTGCTGTTTTGTAGCGTGTTCTCTCTCTCTCCATTGATATATCTGGTTAGGTCTGTTGGTTCAAGTTTTCTATATCCTTACTGAGCTTCTCTCTAGATGTTCTATCTGACATTGAAAGAGGGGTGTTAAAGTCTTAAGTATTATTGTAGAGCTGCCTATTTCTCCAAAAGTGTCAATGTTCCCTATTTTTGTTTGATACTCTGTCATTTGATGAATATATGTTAATAATTGTTAATCTATTTATGAATTGACACTTTTATCAATATATACTGTCCTCTGTCTCTTGTAACACTTTTTGCCTTTAAGTCTATTTTCACTGATATTAATATAGCTACTTAGCGCTCTTTTGGTTTCTATTTACATGAAATACCTTCCTTTATCCTTTGATTTTAAGCCTACCGTGCCTTTGGATCTAAGGTCATTCCTTTGTAAACAGCATATAGTTGACGGTGTCTGCTTAACCCTCATCTGCTTTTTAAATAAAGTCTTATTGGAACTCAGCCACAGCCCATTTGCTTCTCCGTGTTTGTGGCCATTTCTGTGCTGCGGTGGCAGTGTTGGGCCCTGCAACTGAGACTGTGGCTTACAAAGCCGGAAACTGTGACTGGTTCTTTACAGAAGTTTGCCAGACCCTGGTCTAGACGCTCCCTTACAGTTTCCGGGGTGCAGTAGCTACACGTAGTCCTGTACAGCAGCAGTCTGGTGAGATTTGTCACCAGTTTTGTGGCCTATTCTGTCTCTCCTGAAACGAACCCTTCCAAGAGCAGATCTGAGCATCCCCAAGACCTGATCTGGCTGACAGGAAGAGCAGGCTTCCACCCCCGGAGCTAGAGTTAGAGGCAGTTTGGAATGTGATCCCCACTGGCAGCTTCAGGGTGGCCAGCTCACCTGGTTTGCTTGGAACTGAGGCATTTCCTGGGACATAGGATTTTAGTTTTAAGATCTGGAAAGCCTGGGCAAACCGGACAAGTTGGCCACCCTCTCTGGCTGCCCAGAGCCTTACCTATGTGCCCCCCACTCCCAGTACCATTCAGGGAAACCCCCAGCTATGCAAAGCGGCGGCGGCTAGCCGGCCCCAGTGGCCTGGCCTCCCCACGGCCCCTGCAGCGCTCAGCCAGTGACATCAACCTGAAGGGCGAGGTGCAGCCGGCAGCTTCTCCTGGACCCTCACTGCGGAGCCTCCCCCACCAGCTGCTGCTCCAGCGGCTGCAGGAGGAGAAGGACCGGGACAGGGACGGTGACCAAGAGAACGCCATTGGTGGCCCCGCATCAGGCAGGGGCAGCCAGAGCAACCTCAGGTAGGAGAGGCCTGGGAGGCCCTGGCAGGGTCTGGGTGGGTGGGGTGCCAGGACCCAAGCTGGGAGGAGCCAGCATGGGGAGATGGGGAGGTCTGTGGTGTCTAGCACTTCTGCATTGGTGGGCTGAGGCTTGGGGTGGGTGACTTCCAACCCCCCAGATAGACCTCCCTGGGTGGGGATAGGGAGAAGGTGAGGTCCTGTGGGCTAGGGCAGGCTCCGCCACGCTGATCATGGGTTGAAACCGGACTTGCCTTGAGGACAGTAGGCAGCTGAGGGAGCATATTGGGAGGAGAGGGTCTGATCAGACCTGTGGTTTAGAAAGATTCCTGCTGTGCCAGGGAGGAGGGGTGGGTGGCAGGTAGTAAGGGGTTACGGAATGGAGCTTCCGCTCTAGGAGGCTGTCACCCCTAGCCCTGTCTCCAAAGGGGAGTATTTGTCTTTCTCTCACCTCTCTGGTCCAGGACACTGTGGTTCTACTCTTTACCCTTTACTGTGAGTGGTGGGACCCTGAGAACCAGGGACATGGTTAAGGACTTGCATCCCCAGAACGCAGGGCAGGACCCCTGGCTAGGACCCCATTGGCCATTGTCGGCTGTGCAGTGGGGAATGCGAGGGGGCACTGGCTTTGCAGCCAGATGGCTGGGTCCAGTGCAGTCCTTGCACCTGCTCACTGTGGCCTTGGACAGGTCAGCCAACCCCTCTGTGCCTGGGGTTCTCATCAGTAAGGCAGGACTAATCTTACCTAAGTCGTTTCCTTCTGGAAGCCTTCTCAGCCTGGGCATGTGAGAGTTCCCTACTGGGAGCCCCTGGCCCACAGTACCAGCCAGCCACTGCTGGTCAGGGCATTTCTCCTCCCTGCACCTCGAGGGCGAGCGCCAGCATCACCCCCTTTTTAAAAAAAATCCTCATCCCAGGATATATTTTTATTGATTTTAGAAAGAAAGGAAAGGAGAGAGAAAAAGAGAAACATCGATTGGTTGCCTCCCATACGGGCCCCAATCGGAGATTGAACTCGCAACCTGGGTATGTGCCCTGACTGGAACCGAACGCAAAACCTTTTGGTGCCCAGGACGATGCTCCAACCAATTGAGCTACTGGCCAGGGCAGGAGCCATTTTTCTTGCTTCCTAGTTTCCCCAGGGCCAGTCACAGGGAAGGTGCTGGGGAGGCACTGTTGAGTGAGAGTCATACAGACAGCACTGACAGCTGGGCGGCCTCGTCTCGCTTAACAGTGACGCTGTGTGAGGCTCTATTACTGCCATTTTACCGACGAGGGTCCTGACACTCAGGTGGGCACGTGACTTGTCCAGAGTCACAGCTAGGAAGCAGCATAACTGGGCCCCAGGTAGATCTGATTTCCAAACTTTCTAAGCCTAAGCTCAGCAGAGGGCTTGGGGTGCAGCAGAAGCTTGTAAAACCCACACTATCCCCTGCCGTGGCCACTGTGCATGTAGCCTTGACTTGTGATGTCTTCTCTGTCTCTGTGTCTTTGCCCAGACTCCAAGGCTGTCTGTTCTGCCCCAAATCATCTCCATTCTCCCTGAAGCTTTTGCATGTTCCGTGGATTTTTCTAAGGTTGGGATGGGCCAGTGGCTAAAAGAACAAACTTTGGGATGTTTCAGTTTTTCAGAGGGTCACTCCTGTTTTGGAGCTGTGTGGGTGCCCTCCTTTTCGTTTATCTTTTTGTATGTCCATTCACCTTTCAGCAAACACAAAACCAAGACCTGCTATGTGCGGGGCTCCAGCTCACTACTCTGTGAGGACAGCAGAATTATTATTATTATTTTTCTACAAACATTTAGTTGGTGCCTAGGATGCTGGAAGTGGTGGGAGGTAATAGCAGGAGGTCCTGAAGGTCTCAGAAGGACAGTGACAGCCGGAGCCCAGGGCCAAGAAAGTTGGGTGGGCAGGGATCCAGGTAAGGGGGCCGCCCTGCGAGTGGCCAGGAGGAGGTGAGGAAATTCAGTGCACCTGGAGGGAGAGGGTCTCCGGAGGAGCGGTCAGCTTCGGTCCAGGGAGAGGAAGTGGCCTTTGAGCCGAGAGGCGGTGGGGCGTGGAGGGAGGTGGCGGTGCCCCTAGCGCCCCCTGTTGGCAGGGCCTGGAACGGAGCCCCTAGCCCCCCAGAAATGTGGCCCCAGGGTTCCCACCAGCATCGCAGAGCAGAGAAAGGTGAGTTTGTGGCTGGGAGACGGTAACAGCTGGCTGGAGTAGCATGATTAGAGTAGTTGGGGCGTCGGAGCACCATCACGAACCCCCATCGTGAACATACCCGAGTGTGCGCCTGGGCTGGAGCTAATGCTCAGTCCCAGGGAGCTCACAGTTGGTTGAGGATGTGGACCTGGTCCGCCTGGTACTAGGGAGCCAGCGCGGGCTTTTGAGCAGGGCGAAGGTGGAGAACTGAGGCTTCAGGCTCGGTGCTCAGCGGGGCAGCAGTCCGGTTAGCCGGCTGGCGGAGTGTGCACGGGCCTGGGGGTGTCCAAGGAGGAGAGGACACGGGTCTGGAGGGGATTCTGGCGCCGACACAGGGTGTGCGGAGGCCGGGG